AATCTTACGACGACATTCTTGTAAGCTCAAACAGCGGGTATCAGTTCGCGTGGTTCTCTCATTAGAATAAAACAAAAACAAAAGATTTTAATTTAATTCTAAAAATGATATTGATATGTTATGTCTATAGAAATCCAATGTTTGTATGTTCAGCAATTGTTCAAGTAAATGGATCATCATTTATTGATGATAATTATCGTACATCGACTACAGCATATCGTCGACATAGGCAAATTTCAATTATAAAATGTATTGAACAACATTTTGCACAATTTCAAGATAATATTAATCCATTACATCTTAAACCTTTACAAATTGTTAGATATGAAAATAATCAAGAGGTTTGAAATTTGATATAGAATAATAATTAGAATTAAATTTTGTTTTTCTTTTGTCTTATTAATTTAAATCTCATATTGATGGATTTTATCATGTAGATCAAATGATTAATGATGGTCAACATATAACAATATTTTTTACTTATCTTTATGCAAATTGTTCTATGGATGACACAGAATTTATTAATATTAAATTTAATTTTTCATTATATTCATATTTTTGTAATATTTTAATATGTGATGATATAGCATCATATCGAGGTATTCGATTTCGACCAATATCAGGAAATAGGATTCAATGTGTGGACACGTGAAACAATTTTTGTTTGAAAAAATATCTACGTCAGAGTTAAAGATAGATGAATGTAAGTTCAACGACAGCAACAGGTAGGAATCTGCAGTTTTCAACAATTGAATGAGGAGAACTCCAAATGTTATTTTAAAATATCATTCTTGCAAAAAATACATGATTTTGTCTTAGATTACTGAAAACTGCAGGTCGCTAGTTGTTATTGAGATTACACTTATCTCTCTTTCATTCTTGAACAGACATTAAATGTTTTTTTTTCAAAAAATTTTCTGTTTGCTACTGAAGAAATTCTAAATCCATTTTTCATCTATTAATAAATAACTCCAAAACATAATGTTACTTGGCTTAAGGATATTTCGCTCTCCTTCCGAGATTTCTGGAGAATGACTCATCAGAAAAATTTACAATTTTCAGAAAAAATAAATTTTGACGAGTAGAGCAAAAGTTATCATAGACTCAAAGTCTCCAGATGCTGTCTTCTATACGATATTGGAATCATCATAGTGAAAAAAAGACTTCCTCGTTTCACCGAGATGCTATGTTCGATTGAATTGAAAATTTTTTTTACAGGTACTATTATCCATTTCAAACTACAAGAGCAGTAGGTATTTTTCTAATAATTCTCAATAGGAAGAAGGTACGGATCTACGGTTTTCACTGTTGGAAAGAGGAGATCAAGACGCATCGAATTATATATTACAGACTTTTCGGCATGTATGATTGAGTGTTTTTAATCCAGATTTTGACAAACCAATGTACTACGCTCAGTTACTACAGGGAAATTTCGATTTTTAGGAGCGCATCAGAACCGACAATCGAAGATCTACAGAATTGTGCAAGGCTCAGATTTTTAACTTGTAACGCTCAGCAGTTAAAGGCATTATTCTGTGAGCTTCTATCCGATTTTTCGAGAAAATTAGGCGAAAAATTCAATAGAAACTCTCAAAACACTTGGCAGTAAAATCTGTAATATATAATTCGATGCATCTTCATCTTCTCTTTTCAACAGTGAAAACCTCAAGTCTCTATCTTATTTCAGTCAGAAGTTATTCAAAAAAAAATACTCACTGTTCTTCTATTTTGAAATGTATAATAGACATTATTTGGTGTAGTCATCTTTTTATTTTTTTATTCTTCGAATAAAAAATCCAAATCATCAAAAATACTCTAAAAAAAATGGATGTTTTTTTTTAATAAAGCCTTTTTTTCTAGGAGAAACAATTTTCTCGTGAAAAAGTTGCTTTGAGAAAAATACGAAATAATGTACAGTTTTTATTAATTTAATTTCTTCTCGAGTTTAAAAAACAATGTTTAAATTCCAAAATATACTCACGAGAGAACTACTCAAACTGATACTCACCGTTCATTTTACTGTGGAATTAAATTACAATATTTCAATCTGAAAATAACTTGGTTCCAGACGCTTATGAACACGAATTCTTTTCTAATCTTACCGAGTCCCCATGTGAACTCAAACGGTGGGTACCGATTCTCACGTCGGTACTATTTCAACCTATAAAATAGCCATAAAAATTTTGTGGATCACGAAAAGATGAGGGAGTATCCTTTTAATGAATAGATAATGACGAATAACCTGAAGAAAATTAATAACCATTTCAATAATAGATAGAATTGTAATATTCAATCTTTTTTTTTTTAGCAGCTGCTCATCATATTATCGGCTATCGATGAAAGTTAAATGAATTGAACATAATTATATAAATGATGATGAATAATATTCAATGATTGAAATGAAAAGCTAAAGTCAATAACCAATACGAATTTCTTTTTTTTTCTCTTCTTCTTCTTTTTCTTTTTCTTTTCTTCTATATTCATTTTTCAACCAATGAAATGTTAACTTCTATTGCTTTCTTGCTGGGTTGCAAGATGACGACCATTCATCAATATTATTTGAAGTTGAATTCTATTTCTCACTTTTTTTAACCTGTTGTACTCATTTCTTCTTTGTCGGCAACTGTGAAACATCAAATAAGACACGTTTTAGTCAATTGTCTTCCTTAGCAGCCTATAACAATTATTATAAATTTTGTTTTTTCTCCGATATATATATATATATATATGGCACCACTTGCTTAATATATATATATACACAATAATGTCATCCAGTTTTCCATCTTGGTTTACTGAAACAATGTTATTACAACATAGAAATTCCTATATATCTGAAAAATCGAATGAAGATTTAGCTACTGAACGTTTAAAATATTTACTTGGTATTCAATATTATGCTGGTTTATTAACACCACCATCAACAAAATCTGATAATATGAAAGAAGAATCTGAAGGTGATATAGAAGAAGATGAAGAAGAACAAGAACATGAAACAATTATTGAATCAACAAATATTTTTTATAAATGTCATGAATGTGAAAAAGATTTTTCAACATCACATGGTCTTGAAGTACATGTACGACGTACACATTCATCTGAATTACGACCATATTCATGTGATCTTTGTAGAAAAACATTTAGTCATGCTTTATCACTTGTACAACATCGTACAATACATACACAAGAACGATGTTTTCAATGTAAAACATGTGGAAAATCTTTTAAACGTTCATCAACATTATCAACACATTTATTAATACATTCCGATACTCGACCATATTCATGTATACATTGTGGTAAACGTTTTCATCAAAAATCTGATATGAAAAAACATACATATATTCATACAGGTAATCTTTTTTTTTTTTTTTTTTTTTGCAATCTCAGTAAAAGCTTTAAATGATCAATGTCAATCAGTGAAATTAGCTCTGATGACATATCGATATCAATTTTTTTTAAAGCAAAAATGATGATGCCTGATACAATTAACCATATGTCATAGTCTCCTTAGAGAACGAACGATGATGATGATGATGATGATGATGACCATTTTAAACATTGATAAGAGCCTTGTTAAATATGCACACTTAAAGATGGAAAAAACGTATTCGTCTAATCAAGTGATGTTGGCGCATGATTTTCACACATATTCACTTTCTCCCTTACGTTTTCTCTTGAGATTAAGCGGATCCTATGCTATCGTTTTTTTTTTTTTGGTCTGTAAAGTTAAAGTTATTAATACAAAAAAAAAAAAAACCTAGAGAAAAAATTAGTTTTCTTTTTTGTTTTTTTTGATTTAGGTGAAAAACCACATAAATGTATTGTTTGTGGTAAAGCTTTTTCACAATCATCAAATTTAATAACACATAGTCGAAAACATACAGGTTTTAAACCATTTCAATGTCATAAATGTATACGTGCATTTCAACGTAAAGTTGATTTACGTCGTCATATTGATACACAACATGGTATTGAACATAATCATGATGATTTAATATTAAAAACAAAAACAATTGAACAACAAATAAATAATAATATAAATGAAAATCATCATTCAAAAAAATCTAATACAGGAAAATATGGACCAATTGGATCATTAATTCAAGAACTTGCTGCTCGTCATTGAACTTTAAATACAAGAAAAAAATAATTGACTAACTAACTTTGCATGATTATTAGTATTATTTTCTTTTTTCCTTTTTCTTTCTTTTTTTTTTTTTTTTGTTCTCATTTGTGTATAAATGATGATCCATATGTTGATGTGTCATATTGAAAGGCGGTGAAGATTGAAAAGTGTGAGCAACCATCTGGATAGATTCTATATGCATAGAAGAAAAAAAAAAATCTTGATTGAAGTGTGCTAGGTATTACTTTATTATGCATCACAAATCTAGCACGAGATGAAGAAGATTATTAATCTCACATTGATTCTGTGACAAGAACTCATTTATAAACTTATTTTATACACAATAACATGTCTATTAATCACAGAACAATTGTCAACTAGTTTTCCTAGTATTGACGTCTTTTTCTTTTTCCTTTTTTTTTTTTTTTTTATATATTTTAATGGTTTTGGTGTGTTCATTTCATATGCGCGTCATCTTCCTTAATGATAATCTATAATATGAAAAAAAAAAAAATAAAATAAAATAGATGCTTGAGGCATAAAATACATATGAAATTGTTCGTATCGCGGTTCAAAATCAAAAGATTACTCCTCAGCAGGTGTTGAACATGAGCATACGTGATCATCACTATCGTTACAATATGGTGAACTGTTGCTGATCGAATCGTGAAAAAATTGACAACTTGTCTTTTTCTTTGTTTTCTTTTGTATCCTTCAGGCAATGTGTATAAACAAAAGACGACAAAAAAAAAACTAAAATGAAATATAAAAATGCCAGTTGGTCTTTCTTCCTTCTGGGTAAATATAAAAAAAAAAAAACGAAACCTTGTTGAATTAACAAAATGATAATTAAGAATTATATTTCTTAAATTGATCTTTCATTTAACATAGATATATATATATATCTACTCAAGAGAAAAGTTGAACCTTGAGAAAGCAACAAAATCTACAAATTATATTGAACTCATCTTTCATCATCATCCGTTCGTTTATAAAAAGCAATCATCAACGATTTGAGTCTCTTGTGTGTATGTCGAACAGCTAAGTTTTTTTTTTTTTTTGGCTTACAAGATAAAATCGTATGTGTATTTTTTTTTCCTTCTTGCCTAAGAAACATATAAGGAAAAATGAAAATGGAATATGTCACATTTGAGACTAGTGATGGTACGACAGTTTGATGTCGAGACGAACCAGTGATTAGGTTAATCAAACGCTTAATAAAACAAGATGATTACATTTACTCGTCGATTTTGATAATAAAATGCACAGAAATAAGTTTGTCTAATCAATTGATTAGTTTTCTAAAAATAGAATAAATATATTTTAGAAAAAGAAAGAAAAAAAAGAACAACATTTAAAGTAAAATGAAAAAAAAAAGAAAGAAAGAATTTTTTTCTCATTAGATAAATGGTTGAATGTTTTAAAATAATAATGAAATGTTGATGAGATTTTTTGTTCTAATTGTTTAGTAAATCACTAGTATTCGAACGTTCTTTATTGATCGATATACTCTATTTGAAAAATTAGTTAAACTAATATGAAATTAATATTCTCAAGTATATGATAAAGACGAAAGCGGATTGGATACGAATATTTATTTATTTTTTTTGTATGAAAATAGTATTTGTTCTTGAGATATATTAATTTTTACTAATGTCTAGTAAAATTAAGGTGAATCGCTTCTTACTCAAAAATGTGAATAAAGTTTTAGACGCTGATTCTGAATATGTAATTTATTTTTATGCTAAGAACCTACTTCTAGTAAGAGAAATATGGCAAATTTTCAAATACTGTTCTTCACAAGTATGACCTTTTGCAACGTTTGCTTGTTGCAGATGACATTGGTATGAAACGCAGTGTTGGTGTTAAACATCATAATTATGAATACATATAAAGTCGCATTTTCCATCACAATAATACATGTTCATTTTTCTCTTCATGTATTCAGTTATTTCGTCATATGGTTCATCATCATCTTTAGATGAATTTTCATTAAAAATGAATCCTTTTAGTAAAACAATATCATATTCTACTTCTGTAGTCTGTTTTCAAGTACAATAAATTGCTCAGATTTTCACTTCTAATTTAGCAATTTGAAAAAGTAAAAATATTTTTCAAATGTCAAGATCTCATTAATTTCCGAGTACTCAATACTATTGCAGGACAATAGTTTGAAAGGGATGTGGTTGTGAGTGTTGATAGGATCCTGCCCTAAATCATACATCTGCATTCTCTGTAAAAATATTTGACTGTTTTCTAGATGTTGTTACACATCAATGAAACTTGGTAGCAAAAACAGAAAATAAAAAACTTATTCATGATATTTGATTAATGGTATCTGATTTGTTTTGTTCGAGAGTATCCGATTGGATAAAATGCTTGTTCAGGTTTTATTGATTTCGATATGTTTTAAAAGACTTGAAAACAATTAGAATATTATGATCTTGTTAAATAATGGATGAACTATAATGAATCGAACTAAATGTAAATGTAATTTTCCTCTTATTTAAAATCATACAAAAGATTCAGTCTTATACCAAAAGATACAGAATTTTAAGATTGACAAAACTAAGAACTTCACTTTAAAAAAACAACATATTTTGCCTTTTTGCATGGCAATCCAAACATTTATGTATTCTGTATATTCTAATTACGACATATCTTTGCTCGTCATTTGCAAGATCTTGAAAGTATAGAATTTTATATTAAATGGTAGAGAATCTTGTCTTCTATTTGGCTGATGCACTTTCGGATATCTAAGCTTTTCTAGGAAATTGATAATCCATTGAAACTATCCTTCATGACGATTTTTTTAAGCAATTAAGTCTTTTTGAGCGAAATTCAGTTGCAAAACTCCTATTGAGACATACTGTATAACTGATTAATTGCAACGCAACATATTTTTGCTAAAATTTACGAAAAATCGAGCAAACACAAAAATGGATGTAAAATTAATTATGTTCTAAATTTTTATATAAAGCTGTCGTTTAAAGTTTTGAAAGGAAAGCAAAAATGCCAAAAACTGAGGTAGAAACTTTCGACTTTTCTATTACTCTCTAGTATTCATTAGATGAATATCATCTCAATTGAAAAGCAATTTGACACTAGGAGACATTCTTTCGTTAGTTTATCAATGTTAAATAATGTTTCTATTAAGATTATACAAGGTGTTCATTAGATTTTGTAATGCTATTGACCATTCATTTTTCTATTTCGATGCACCAGAAGGTTGTAAGTGTGGATATTGCTCTACTTTTCACGTAAATCCACATTCCGACATTTATTTTGGCCATTTCATATGGAAAAAATTGAAGATTTCTCAACATAGATTTAAGAATTTCGACAACTCTGTACATATGTTCAGAATTTTTTTCTCAAATTTGAACACAATGACTGACTCGTTACAAATACAGAAAAAGTCTTCACTTGAAAGAAACAACAAAAAAGACTTTTTTTTTTTTGCAGTTTTTTATTTGTTTCCTAATAAATGTCGGATATCTACTCAAAAAAAATAATAAAATTCAAATAACTTGTTTCAATCAATTATTTTATAAAACATCGTTATTAATATTTCTATTTATTATTCTTCTTTTAAAAACTGTTCTTTTTATTTTTGTTATATATTCTTGTTTCTTTTAATGCCATATAAAATAAAAAGCGAATTCACTTTTTGAACAATCCCGAAGACAAAAAGAAAAATAGATGACAGTGTATTGGCACATAAAAAACTGATGATGAAAATTTTTGAAAATGATTTCTTTTATTTTAACCAAATATATCTAAACCACCCATATCATCATCATCGGATTCTGGTTCAGCTGGTTTTGCAGGTTTTTCTGCAGCTGCTGGTTTACTTGTGCTAGCTGATGCATTTGTTGGTGGTGCTGCTGTTGTTGTTGCAGCAGCAAATTTCGATGGATCTTTCAAGAATTCTTTTAACTTAAAAAAAAAAACAAAATAAAATAAATCAAATTATATTCCAGAAATTGGATTTCAGAACGCTGTTGGATATGGTTAATTTATTCATCAGTTGCCTTTAATCAGTAGCAGAACTGGATAAAACAAAAATTCATCATTAATTCATATGAATACTTACAGTATTAGCTTGTTCAAAATTAACATCAGTTTCAGCAGCTAATGCAAGTAAACGTTTAAATCCACCAAGAATAAGATGTGGTGCTGATACTTGATTTGGAATATTAATACCAAGTGAAAAAGCTGCTAATCGTTGAATACCTTGAGAAAATTTTGCACGTAAATCAGCTGGTTTTATATCAAGTATTGATGGTTCAAAACATGAACCTGAATCATAAACTAATAAAAAAGAAAAAAGATTTTTTTTTTTTATTAAAAAAAAGAAAAAAGAAATCTTTTGTTTTACCTTGACGAATAATAAGACCATAACTAAATGGCGAAACATTCAACATATTAAGTAATGTTGCTTCACTAGCGCCAACTTTCTCACCAACTTTAATTAAATGAACATCATTCTAAAATGAATAAATATATATATACATTTTTTTTTTCTTGTATTTTGATTTTATTTTTCTTATACCTACGTACAATAATTTCAATTGTACCACGTGTAATTTTTGTTGGAATTTGAAGTGCTTGAAAAAAACTTGTTTTTTCTGGACCTAAATTTGTTACTTGTGCTGGTATAGAGACATCAACAGGTGCAATAGCACCAGCACGAGCTGGAGCAGCGACCTTGATAATAAAAAACAAAAAAGAAAAAGATTGATAAATATGAATATTTATTTTCTATAGATAATAAAACCTTATTTTCCAAAAGTTTATCGCGAATTGAACTTAAATCTTCTTTAGTAAAAACGAAACCAACATTTTCATAAACATGTGGTAATATTTTTTCTAAATTTGCATTTTTTGATGTTTGTCCACGGATTGTTTTACGCATCATCGTATTTTTTCCCATCATAATAACTATTTAAAATATTATTATTATTAAACAAAAAAAAAAAAAAAATAACAAGCATATTACCAGCATGACCACGAAGTGATACACGAATTTTTTGCATTTGACGTGAACCGACATTATCAGCGCCAACAATAAATACTTTTGGATATTCATCCAAATATTGCTGAAAATATTAAAATCATATTTAAAAAAGAACGTAGTCAGAAGGAAATTTTATCAAGATTGGAATTAAAGTTGAAATGTTATTGATACTAACTAGACAACCATCCGAACTGATATTGAATCTACAAGGACGCCTTGGTGAGATTAGAAAAAATCGAAAAAAGCTTTGTTCGCATAGATTATTAGAGCCAAGTTAGGATCGTTTAACTGAATTTTTTAACTCAACAGTGATTTACTGCTATTCTAAAATAGGGACATTTAATCTGCACCTGTGTATGAATGATGTAAAAGAGACGCTTTCATCATAGCCTTATCTTACGATAGGAACAACAAAAAGATCTGAAACTCTCACACACAACTAGTCTCATTAGGATCTGCCCTTATACAACGTTTCCAGTCGAAATATGAACATCAGCTTTCCTTAGGAGAGCCAAGATACTGAGTTCAAAAATGTAGTATCTTGGCAGTAATAAGCTAAACTGGACTCTCTTCATGAGACTAGAAATAAGATGTTACTGGTTCCAAACTTCTATGAAAATAAATATGATTGTATTCATTAATCCTCAATAGGAAACATCTCTGATTGTAGAAAGTTGTCTCATTAAACAATTTGGATGTTCTATTGGATTACAAAGCCTACGTTCTATTGCTGAGATAGACTATGTATTCTCTATGAAAATAATAAATCGTTAATTGACATTCGAACAATTAAATGAAGTTCATACAAAAACTGAAGAATTTCTTTTTATTACGATTAAAATAATCTATTCTTCATGTTCTTTTTGTACTGATTTAAAAACTTATTTAAATTATTAATTAATTCAATTGCTCTCAGAAAGTGATTATTCTCAATGTTTCCGAAGAAACTCAGAATTGCAGAACACATTATATATAAGATCATCATCAACGAGCAATTGTTTGTTTTTTTTTTTTTGGAAAAATTATATTATACCGTTAAACGCATTGTATATTTGGCTTTCCATGTTGAACGATCTTCCTTCACCATCTTTGTTTTTTGAATAATTTTACCAGATGTTTTAATCTAAAAATTAAAACCAAAAATAAAAGCAAGTATAATGTCGAAAGAAATTTCAGTTAATATGAATTTCTTAATACATGTTGATCTATCGTCCTCCTTCGAAATAGATAAATAAATAACCAACTATCGCTAATATACTATAACTATTAAGAGATAATATTAATATTTAAATCAATTAAATTAAAAAAAAAAGCGTATTGAAATTAAATTATTTTTTTTTTCAAATAACTATAATCTATTATTTTATTTTAAATAAAATGAATCAAGGACAAAGTAACATTCAAATGAAGAAAATTGACCAATCAGATGTTTCGTATATGTTAAAAAGAAGATTATAAATTATTATCAAAAGAATCAAAATAAATCATGAATGAAATAGGAACAGTAAAAACAAATCAAAAACGTCTATATGAATTTGAACAAAATTTTTCTTCAAAACGTTCTAAATATGATGAACAGTATGATAGTTCAACAACTGATACTGAATCGATATATTCTAGTAGTGATACAGAAAAATCAAAAATAGAACAAAATGATGATGATGATGATTATAGTGATATCGAAGATTTCGAAGATAATTCAACTATATCAACAGATCAATCTCGATACAATCCAGTTGTTTTTAATAAAACAATTCTTCAACAAAAACAATTTTTAAGTAGACATTCAAAAAAATTATTAAAACAATTTAAATATTTTTATGAACATAGTAAAAGAAAACCTATTGAATCAACAACAACTATAGATGATAATATAAATCAAAGAAAAAAATTACGTTGGGAATTAAGAAATACATTTAATCGAAATGATCTTTTTAAAGAAGGTTATGCAGTTTTATCAGATGAATCATTTCCATTTTATTCACTTTGTTATATGGTTAGTATAAAATAAATATTTTATTTTTATACTAATTCCGAATAAAATGTTCGATTTTAAATTTTAATATATATAATTTTTGTAATAAAGTATTTAATATTTATGAGATACAGCCTAAAAACAAGAAGTGTTGAAGTATAGAAGTAAAAATATGGATCTACCTTCTTACAGATCGTGACAGACACTGGTCGAAGATCATCACAGACTGTGACATACGCCACTCAAAGACTGCGACAGACGTTGTTGATCGGGTCCAAACCCAAGGTTTTAGCTATTTATTCGCTACTCTCAGGAAAAAAGAATTCAATGTACAGTTATATCTTGTTGCTGTATTTCTCATCTGTAGAGCAGCGGGTCGACAAAAGGATGTAATCACACTCGACAAAACAAATAAAACTTTGGATCCGAATCTGAAAAGATTTGCAGCTTTCTACTGCAGTAGCTGCCGAAAAATACCAGAGTTACATTAGTAAAGCAGCAAGTAATTTTATTCTTAAGCTTTATTCTTCATATGTTAAGTAATGAGTGAAAATACACTGTTTTATAGATTCATTTCAAGAACAATAGAACCATCAGAGAGACATTCTCATTAACAAAAGTAGCACAAAAAAGATCTTTATATATCAGTCAAAACGTTTGACTTTGCAGGATTCTATTCAAGATGTAAATGATAATTTTCAGATATGACATATAACTAAACATATTGAAAGACAGTCTTTCAATTAGGTCGATCTACCCCGGTCTAGAAAAATCCATTCAATGGATTCCTGTTTCCAATTTTCGGTGTTTTCCTGCCAATTACGATGATTTTCCAGCAGATTGCAGTGAAGTCCGGAATCATCAACCTAGATCTAATTTTCTATGAGTTTTTCAGTCGAAAATGGATTCTGGTGTCATAGTCATTGACTTGGATATTGTGTAAGACTTTTTTTGTCCTACACAATGTCTAGAGTTAAGAAGGATATCTATTAAATGCATGTAATATTCCATCAAAAAATTCGATGTCGAAAGAAATGTAACCTTTTTGATGATAATTTATTTGAAAAATTATCTCTAGTAGATCTTGTGAAATGTACAGAAGAGTAAAACAAAAAAAGGCTAAAACAAATTTCAAATTGAGTTTTTATCAAATATTTTCTTACTCTTGATAAATGTTTCAAGCAATGATCATATTTTTTTAGTGTGGTTCAATGGGTAACGATTTAATTTATTGTAATAGCTGTTGTCAAGCTTATCATAGAGCTTGTTTAAATCAATCTGAATGTCCAAATTTATGTCCTACACCTGAATCATGGTTATGTCCAAATTGTATTGTATGTAATATATGTGGTTTAGTAAAAGATTCTCAATTAATATCTTGTTCGGATTGTAAAAGAATATTTCATATTAAATGTATAAAACAATCAAAAGATGAACAACAATATTATAATATTCGTAATCCTATATGGTTTTGTCCATTATGTATTAAATGTGATTGTGGACAAACAATAATATCAAATGAACAAAATTTATTATCATTAACAAAATCATTTTCATCACAACAATCACTTATGTGTTTAGATTGTTTAAATAATATGAAAATAATTCGAACAAATAAAATAAATCAAATTAAAAAATGTCATCTATGTGAAAAATTTATTGAACAATTTATAACAAAACCAAAATCATTATTTTCATTAACATTAATTGGTAATAAAATAGAAAAAAAAAATCAAAATTTATTACAATGTATTAAATGTAAACATTATTTTCATCCAAAATGTGATGGATATTTAAATGAAGATATTATATTAATACCATATATTAAAAATATATCGACAAATATTATTTGTTCAAAATGTAATTATGATCAAAAAGAAGATATTCAAAAATCTTTAATTAATTATAAACTTCAAGGTAATTCAAATCAGAGAGAGAGAATAATTTTAAAAAAAATGAAAAGTATTATTGGTTATCTGTACTAACGAGGAAACTACCCAAATTGATACGCACCGTTTGAATGCATATGAAGCAGACCTCGAAACGAGCAGCCCGACCCGACGATTTTATCCTTTGTTGACATAACTTTTTCTGAGGTTTGGTTCATCTCTGAGGGCGAAGCTTCTCCACGCTACCGCCTCCTCTTAGTCATTACTTTTTATAAAAGCCGAAAAATAAGAAATAGCTGTCTATTGAGAAAAAAAATCTTTGTAAACGATGTTTCTTTCGGGCCCGAGCCGGCTCATAAAGGAGTGGCCTAATTTCGAAGCCTGATATGGAATTCATAAGGACGTATTGGTACTTTCAGAATATTTTCAGAGTTATCAGATCTATGTATAGACGAAATTTCAATAAAATGACCATGACTCGACTGCAGGAGTCCTAAAATAAATAAATAAAAAAAAACGAGTATTCGAGGATTTTCTTAGATGTCCTATGAATAAATTCTGGAATTGTTTATTTGAGATCGGGATCCAAAAAAACTAAAATTACCGAAGCTGAGATTACTAGAAAAGGATCAATAAACTTAATCCGACATATCTCTATATAGTAGGATCTTCTATTGTAAGAGAAAGAATATTTATCTAATCAAAATAAAATTCAATCGACGAATAGATTTTTATTATTTTTTATATTTTTAGTTATAAAAAATACAATAGCAAGTATAACATCAACATTACAAATAATGATATCAGAAGAAAATCGTTTAAATAATATGAAATATTATATGTCTAATCTTCAACAATTACATCAATCACGTAATCAATTATTAAATTTACATGCTTTTATTAATGATTTATTTATAATTGTTCAACATTTACTTGATAATATTGATAATCGTCAATGGCAAGCAGCAATAAATAATTGTATAAATGTTCAATGTCCATGGTTCAAAACTTCAAATTTATTTTCAAATAATAAATTATTATTTTGTTCAACAACAAATACATCTATAAATAATTCAAATATTTTATTAAATCATTGTTTTTTATTACCATCTATTGATCATACATATTCATTAAATAATGAACGTCTTTTATTTCAATCAAATTTATATAAAAATAATTTATTAACATCAAGTGATTCATTATTACGTTATATAAATAATAAATTTGAAAATAAATATTTATTTGAAAATTTATATCAAATTGATACACGATTATGTCAATTATGTCAAACATATGCTGATAATTTTTCATCAAATATTTCTCGTCTTATATCAATTGGTATTAATCAATGGATACATATTGGTTGTATACTTCCAATTTATTCAAAAAATCTTGATCAATCACCATATATTTTACGTAATATACATGAAATAATAAATCGTTGTCAAACAAAATATAAATGTGATTTATGTTTTAAAATGGGTGCTACTGTACAATGTTATGAAAATGATTGTAATATACGTTATCATTGTCAATGTATTGAAATATATTATTCAAAAATTGATAGAAATTTACAACAAAAATTAAATATTATTAATGGATTATTACCAAATTTAACAACTTTATGTTTAAAACATTGTAAACAACAAATAAAAAATAATAATGATAATCAAATAGATGAATCTGTAATAAATAGTATGTAAAATTTTTATTTTTTCATCAAATTACTTTAAGAATATTTGATAATTAACTTGTACGAATTACACATGTACGTTTAGAGAAAATAATTTTTTTCTTCTAAAATAAGAAAGAAGATAACTAGCTGTAGTTCATGACTACAAGGTAGTACATCCGTGTTAGATACCTCATGACACAATCATAAACTTTAGAATATAGAATTTTCATTTTTTCTTTCATAGTCTCTTATAATTAGTGAATTAAGAACTATAGAATAATATATATATATAATGTTTAGTATTTGTCTGTCTGTGCCAGGTCAAAGGTCAAATAAGGCTATAAGCGGAAGACCCAAGGACTACTATATTATGGTACCCAAGGCCCTCAAGGACTATTATATGAGGGTAACCATAGGTCCTCAAGGGCTATTATATGGGGATATCCATAGATCGTTAAGGGCTATTATACGGGAGTATCCATAAGTCCGCAAGGACTATTATATGGGGATACCCATAGGTTCTAACGACTATTATATGGAGGTACCCATAGGCACCCAAGGGAGTAAGGCAGCAAGGGGGTAGGTAATAATGGGTAAAGCAATAAGGAGGTAAGAGCTACAAACTATAAGGCCAAAGGCTACCTGGACTATAAAAATATGTGCGATAAGGAGTATCAGGCCGTAGGGCTATCTATCCATATTCATAATATCGGGTGTCTGTATGTCTGTTACCGGATGAAACGTTAAACGTCTAAGGTCATACGTTAAAGGAGGAAACAGTTGTGCAGTATGCACGGATTCTCGCTAGTAAAATAAAATATCAACATTACAATTAATTGAATTTTATATATTAAAACTTGTATGTTTTGAAAAGTCGAATAACGATTGTTTAAAGCCTTATGAACATAACAAAAATTCCATAGATTATAATTTTCAATGATAAAAAAAACTTCTCACATTAGATTTATAAAGATCTCGAATTCAAGCTAATATTAGATTGACCATTAAACATTACTTCAAGAACCACGATAACTAAGATGGAGACAAAAAACAAAAGTTCAGAAACGAAATGTTCTTTACTTATTTTTCTTTCACGGTCACATGTAGAGCGAATCGAAGAAAAGATTTGATTAGCTGAAATAATTTCCTATCAGACAAGTTACTTGTCAAATTTTCATTAACAAGTTTAAGTAAAAGATCTCTGAAAAATCCAAACCAGTTTTCTGAGCAAAATAAGATGATCATAATCTATTTTCAACAAACGACAATTTAGAAGATATCAATCTTCCAAAATTAAAATCTATTAATTTATCATCAACTGTCTATGCTGATCTATCAAATACTTTAGTCGAATTTTGTTTAACTGATATTAAACTTTGTATTGGTTCTCTACAAATAAAATCTCTTGGTAATTTTGATTATCTTCTTGATAATGATCCTAATATGAATATTTATCCAAATAAATATAATGCATCACGTGTATTTTGGAGTACAAAAAATGCTCAACAAAAAACAATCTATCATTTATATATAGAAATTGAACAAACATATCATAATAATAAATTAAATCATCAAACAATTGAATATCCATTATCAAATGAACAAATATATATTCAACAATTATATGAAATATGTGAAAAATATTTTAATAAATTTCAAACTAAAAATTATTCTCAAAAAAAACAAATAATTAATTTAAATAATAAAATTGAAAAATTAACATCAACATCTATTAAATATCAAACATCAAAATCTATATTAAAAAATATTATTCGATCAAGAAATAAATTTAATAATAATGAAAATAATCTTCAATTAAATAAATCTTCATCAATTATATCACAAGAAAATTCTAAAACAATATCAATTGATACTAAAACTTTACGAAATTTTTTTACAAATAATTCATTTAAATCATCAGATCATTCTCGATTTGCTTTAGCACTTGTACAAGCTCTTCAAAATGTTGATCAATCATTATCATCAGCAAAAATGTATATTACAAAAAATGAAATTTTTTGTTTTTGTTTTCTTATCATGTTATTTATATTTATTTATAGACAACAACAACAACAAGAACCGATTTTAAGTTATTATTTATCGAATCAAACAAGTATTTCATCCAACGAATCAACAATAAAAAAGAATAATGATGTATTATTAGATCAATTATTAAAGAATATAAATCCATCTCAACAATTAAACAGTATGAAAAAAAAACAGAATAGAGACTTATGACGAAATATTTTCAACTAATTCATCGCTGTTGAGTTATGAAAAACTTCAAAAGAATAAATCCCTTTAGACCTTCTATCCAGAGTTTATAGGCATTTTACTGAAATTTAGTCTATGGCATGGTAGATGGTATTTTATCCATGTTATATGCTAAAATTTCAGTAAAATGCCTATCACTTTGGACTGAAGGTCTAAGGAGATTTATCCTTTTGAGGTTTTTCATATCTAACTAGGATCTACCTTATGCACACAGAGTCCAAACTCAAAAGCGATTGACCAGTTGAAAACGCTCCCTCGTTAGAGAGAATAAATGGAATAGAAGATACAGGTTAAGATCTACTTGCCGAATAGAACAATCTAGATCCTATGATATAATTTCTCTCGAAAGATCTATCTAATAGATTTGAAAACCAAAAAAAAACAAAACCGATTCTCTTTCTTAAGATTCTCAACTTTCATCTCAATTGCAATCAACATCGACTATTAATATTCATAATAATTCAACAGAAACATATATTCCACAAATAGATGGAAATATTGATAATGATGATGAAGATTTTCTTATTTGTTCTTCTCTAATAAATTCTTTAATTGAACAAATAATAAATGAAGAATTATTTCATATGAATAATAAACAACATTCAATTAATTTATCTCATTTTCTATCGAATAATATTAATTCAAAAATAAAATCAATATCATCTAATGAATTAATTCATTATTATCAACAATGGTTAATATCAAAATATGGTCGTATAAAATTTACAATTATTAGTGATGATGGATATAAAATTGTATCAGATAATTTAGATGATGCTTGGTTAACAATTGTTAATTTAGTACGTGATTGTCGTGATGATATGAATTTAACACATTTACCAATGAGAAATGAAGAATTAAATGGACATCATATATTTGGTTTAACAAAATCAATTATTAAAATAATGTTAAATCAAATTTATATTAATTCATTATTAATAGAAAAACAAACTAATACTATTTTATTACCATTATCATCATCAAATAAAAATAATTCAATATATTTTTTAAAGAAAAAAAATTTAAATAAAAAAATTTTATTATCTAATTCAAGATTAAATATTTATCAAAGAAAAAATTCTCAACGTCAAAGATTTAATTGGTTATTAAATCCAAATCGAAAAATTGAATATGCATTAAAATCATTCGAAATTGATGATGCACTTGCATATGCAAGGTAAATTATTGAAAATTGAAATTTATTGACAAAATTCAATTGTATTTGAGTAATTTTAGTTAAACTTTTCCTCAGGATAAAACACCATAGCCTTCTATTTTGCTAAAATTTACTTAGAAAAATCAGTGGGAAAATAGCAGACTTCACCGCTGATGTCTCTACCTTGGTCAAAAATTCTAATTTTAACTTTAAAAGAAATAATATTTTACGAACAAGTCGGAATTTTTAGATGCTAAAATTTGGTGTTTTTCCAAAAGATGCTTTTGAAAAGCTTACGACCTTCTCTATTACATCTTGTGGAATTTTGCAAAACACGATCTAAAAAGAAGTATTGAAGTACATAGGGTAGAGATTTGCATCAATCTTTTCCTCTTAGTCCATGACAGATGGAATCGACAGATATATTAGCAATGATATTTTATTTTTTATTTATAAAGACGAATTCTTCTTGAAGAATGTTCAGTTAGTTTACGTCTTTATTATTTATATTATTTTTCTCAACGTGCATTAATTGTTGGATCATCATCTATACATGGTTGTGGTTTATTTACATTAATTGATTTAATTGAAGGACAAATGATTATTGAATATACAGGTGAAGTTGTTCGTCAATGTCTTACAGATAAACGTGAACGTGAAAATGAAAAAAAAGTAAATTATCAAAAAAAAAAAAAAAACAACAAAATAATAAAAATTGGATATATATAGACTTTCTTTTTTTTTTCCATAGGGTTTTGGTTGTTATATGTTTACTGTTGATTCAATGAATGTTATTGATGCTACACATCAAGGAAATAAAGCTCGTTTTATAAATCATAATTGTCAGGTAAATTAAAAATTAATTGATTTCATAAAAAATAAAAATGAAATTATTTTTCTAGCCAAATTGTTTTGCAAAAACTGTTCTATCCGGTGGTATTAAACATATTATTATTTATGCTCTTATGAATATAACTCGTGGTTCTGAATTAACTTATGATTATTCATTTCCTGAAGAAGATATCAAAATTCCTTGCCATTGCGGTACAAATAAATGCCGAATTTATTTAAATTAACGTCATATATATATATATGTATATTTTTTATATTCCTAGTCACGTTTTTGTATTTTGCATGATATGAACGTTTGTATGTGTGTGTGTGTGTCTTTTGGATAAATAAAGGAGATGTTTCTAATTTTAGTTACTTTTCAATTTGAGCAAGAATATATTAATATAATCCATTGTCTAACTTTTACAATGGTATATCTTCTTCATTCTATCATATTTTAGACGAAATATGTCATTTTAAAAAAAGTGAATTAAATAGGATGGACACTACGATAAGAAATTGAAATATTGCAGTTTCCATTCATTCAAATAGAGATGATTTCTTGATTGATGATAGGAGTTTAGTCAAAGTTTTTTTGTCAAGATGAATAATACAAACAAATATTGTGATCAGTTTCACAATATAAGATACTTCGTGTCTATGCGAATAACTCGCTAACGCGAAGGAATATCGAGAAAAAGTTTTCACTAACTTGTAGCCAAGTTTGGAATGCATAGAACTATGACAGAATAAATTTTTGATTGTATCTCCATGGATTTTCACAAGGGTCTTTGGAAATTCATCTCGTCGATCGAAAATTTTCTAGTAGGCTTTTTATTCGAATTAGCCTGTTTTATAGCCTTGGATTTGCTCTACAAAACTATGCAAACCGCAACTTTTTCCGTTGTTTCATTCGCGTTCTAGGCTTCATTCATTGGAAGCCTCAAATCTATGCTTTTCTCTCTGATTGAGCTCGAATTTATATCCAAGTATCGGTTTTATTAGTTATTTACATCATGAACCTAAATATAGAGTAAATATCTATTTGCTATATCATGTAGATAACGATTAATTTACTGTTCACAAGCACTGAAACTCAATAAGATGATCATTACGATAAACTTCGTCGTATTAATGAAAATGTAAAAATGTGCATACAAGAATCATATCATAATGGTATAATAAAACTAAAACAAATTATTCGAACATTTCAAACCAGAAATGTAAGAACTACATATGCAAACACGTGATTAGTATGGCTATTTTGTTGAAATCGATGAACATATAAAATGGTAAATAAATCAGTTTAACTATTAAAAAAAAGACTAAAAATTTTGTAAGTGTTTCATTACGTATAATGAAAGTTGTTAGTGCAATTCCTCCTGGATTAAAATATGAAACATGATGTAGCTAGTGTTGCTAATCACAACAAAATTGTTTTTCTTCTATGTATTTTGAGATACATTTCTCCAACATCTTTTTACGTAATCCTCAAGAAATGCAATAAAGACATAGTTCATACATCAGAACGAGACATTATCCATATACAGTCTGTGATTGTATGTTAACAACGTTTGTCATATCTGTAATGATTCATTGCCAAGATATTCACCACGTCTGTGAAGGGAGTGTCCAAATTTCTACTTCTATACTTCAACACTTCTTTCGAATCGTCTTTCACAAAAAGTAAAGTACTAGGGAAAAATGATGGAAGCAGTGAGTGAGAGCCGAAAATTTTATGTATTTACGATCAAGTGCTTCTTTTTATTGAGTATTTCGTTATATATTTTTCTTAATTTTCATGCAATACAACTATTTAATATCTTCTCAAAAGAGATAGTAAATCAAGATCATAAATGATATTTTAGAAATATTGATCTTTTATAATGTTACACTAAAATATGTTGTCGAATTTGTTTTTAAAAAAAAAAAATTCTCTACATTAAAAGAAACTATCATTATTTATGCCGGAAATGAAACAAAATAATCTGCGCGTAAAAAGTCTTTGCACAATATTTCTGCTCAATTTCCGTCTACTAAAAAGTCATTGAAGTGAATTAAAAATAATCGACTATAATGAAGATTTCATGACCTTTCTAAATATAAATAATAATATTCAGAATTTTCTTCTGCTTCAAGTCAATCGTGAATGAAAGTGCAAAAAAAAAAAGGTTTGTACAGAATATCTCATGTCGCATATTTTAATTATTTTGAATAAAACTACCTCAATCCAAAAACAAAAATTTTTTATCTTATTTGTTCATTTTTTTCTAAAAAATGTTGTCTTACATAAACACTTTCAATTAGATCTATTTTATTTAGTGCAAATAACTTTTTTCATTTATATACATATTAACACACACAGCTAATCAATAGTAAGTTAGAGAAAAATTCTGAATATGCATTTAGAAAGAGGATGACCTTCTCTTTAACCCTAACATGACCACTTTTAAGACTACTACTTATTATCAATGTGGGCTTCAATTGATAAATATAATACGCAAAGTTGTTACTACCGGATGTTTGGAAAGTTTTTAAATAAGATATTTGTTCACTGTTTACCCACTAGGAAAGTATTTCTGATGAGTTAAGACCAGAATTGTGTGCTCTTTTCGAATGTGAGCTTAGAATTTTTGTCTCAGTTTTTGTTTGGGAATAGTGGAATTAATAATGGTGAACTTCGATCATTTAGAGACTTATGCGGCAAACAAAAACTTCTATTGACTTACTAATCCAAATAATTTTTTCAGATCTTTCAAAAAAGCCTCTCACTACACTTGAACAACAATTGAGACAAAAATTCTAAGCTCATATTCCAAAAGAGCATTTTAACTCATAGTTTTTAACATGTTGGAAATAGTTTCTAATAGACTAAAAGTCAAGTTTCATCACTTGTTAGTTTATCATGGATAAGTGAGAAGTTAATTACAAAAAAAACACAAATAGAAAATCAATTTATTTGAATTATATTTATCGAGTCTTTTTTTCATGGTCTTATCAATCTCAATTTTTAATGCATTTGAAATCATATAGCAATTTCCTATCGTCTACTGACATTATGAATATTTATAATAAGATGCTTCAATTAAATATTATGAATGTATAATATAACAATGAATCTCATTAAGGTCCAGGCGCTAACTCCAGGTAGGTTTGCTGTACTAGTCTTCACCAGAGTATATCTCGAAGATGGACGATTTTATCTAATATTATGTATACATGATAGCCATGCCAGGATTAATGACTTATAAGCGAACAAAAATCGAACAGATATGTTATGTAAAGACTTTTGTGCTCTCAAATTTATGGGTATAAAAACAAGCATGAAGTTCATCACATATTTTTTCAAATCGGCTTGTCCAAATGTAACACTGTGATGTTTTTGACAAACTTTTTTTAATTATCTCAGAAACTATGAGAGCTAGAAAGTTCATTCAAACGTCATTCAACGCAACTTATCGTATTCTATTTATGCCACAAAAACGACGTTTTTTGGTTGAAGTCTCAAGCTTTCAGAAAGGATTTTTAGTCACGTAACGCTGTGGCACAGTTTTTTGTCGATCAATTTTGATGCGCTTAACATGCTTAGATATCTTTGATTTTCATAAATATTGGTCATTATTGTACATATAATTGTTCTACGCAAGAATCAAGTTGCTACATCAAAGGGGTGATCATTAACCATACAGTAAATTAGGAAATGTACAAGAATGAAATTCTGCATCGAATAATATGTTACTCAATAATTTTTGAAAGAATTTCTTGATTACAAAATTCAAAATACGATTTTTGAGAAGTTTAAAACGTGTTTTTGATACCAAAACCTAATTTTTGTTTTAAAGAAACAATGTCAAATTCGTAATCAACGTAAAAACTGCATCTAATAATGTATTCAGATTTGCTCATCACGAAAAAAATTTTTCAAAGACTTAATTAGTAAAGTATCGCGTTATATAGACAAGCCACAATATGAGAATATTGTTAATATTTTGACTAAATTATTAATTATTCAATGAAAATAGAATATCAAAATTGTCATGCAATGTTTATTCAAGAATATTATATGAATAACATTAGATATAAAAAAAAAGAAAAGAGACTCCTAGATAAAACATTAGAGAACAATATTTTGCTTATATTAATGTTTCATTTAACTTATTTGAATATTACATTCATAAGAGATGATGTCAAGCACCTTTGATAAAACATGATTTGCAAGATTCATAGGTCAATAAGGCAAATAGTTCAAATTTTCAATATTGATCAGAAAATTTAAATTTTTTTGATTATTTAATTTATTTATCCATTATCGTGCAAATTTTTATCTCATGGGAAATATTCAAAAATATATTTTAATTTTATCCTTAGTTAACTTTTGTTTTTATTGAATATTATGTGATTTAAACTTTCATATAAATTTCTATGTGATTGGGACCTATAGTTTTCTTTAATTTTCGATTTTTTTTAATTTCAAATTTGCGTAATATGAAAAAAAACGAAATGTGTATTAACAATCTCTTTAATGTTAATTATATATAGATATGCATCGAACTTCATTGACATAATAAAGATTTTCTTACATAGTATTAACTGCTTTTTGTTATAAATATAGAAAAAAGTTTGCATTTGTCGAGGATAATCTAATATATTTATCAAATAAGAACACAAGATTGAAAGAAATCTTTTAAAACATTATCTAAATCCAAACTAATGAGTTTGGATTATTTGTGATTATCTTAATGCCGTAATTGAATAGTGATAGTTAACTTTTTTTGTTACTATCTTTATAGAAGAATCTTCTTATTTCAGATTTATATCGAGAAAAAAATTTTGCGGATTCATACTTCAATAATTATAGCACTTCTTTATATCTAAAAAAAAGCAAAAAAAAAAAACGTCAACCTATTTATAGCACGAGACTAATTATATCTCTGATAATGAGATTTCAAAAATCCTCGATGTCTATATATGTATTATCAGTTATATTTCAATTAACAATTTCTGTTTTTTCTTTGTCAATCATGATTCTATATATTTTAAAATATTTTTCCAATACAAACACTTGAGAAAAAATTTTTTGAAGTTTATAATGAATATTTTCTCAACTCCTGACTATGTATGATAAAAAAATAGATGTCAGATAACACAAAGTCAACTTATGCAGAAATTGACCGAATAGTCATGAATGCTACTTCAAATATTTAAGTATGCTTCAATAAGACCTCTGTAAGATTTTTTTTTTAACCTTGATAAATACATTTTTTTTTGAGTGCAAAACATCTATTGAAAAACGGAAGCCTGGCCATTTAAATCTATTTGAATAGGAATTAGCAGATGATAAATTTTGTTATAAACAAAAATGATATTGAAAAAGATTTATTAATATCAAAATTAACTTCACTAAAACGGAGTCATGCAATTCGTTGAACATAGAATAATTTAAATAATATATTTCAATATACTTTTTATATATTATCAAAATTAGAAACTCAAATTTTATTCATGATATTGTTCAAGCAATGAAAACAAAAATATATTAGTTTGTTTTCTGTTTTCGAGAAATACACAAATGTAAACTTTCTCGGGCTAAAATATCTAAAAAATATTTAATGAAAATATATGTCGAGATTTTGTTCATAAAAATATTGTTTACATACGAGATTTATCTTTGAAATGGATAATTCTATATTTTTAAAATTTATTAATAAAAATAATCGAATTAATATTGAATATGATTATCTAACGATTGATACATATCTTTCAATACTTTATGATTTTATTTATTCCAATGAAAAATATTCTCAGACAAAAAATAATAAATAATAAAGAACCTAAAAAGATTATTAATACTGTAGATTAATATCCGTGTGGCATTTACTCAAATCATTGAGGTCACTATATTTAATTACCACTTTCAAATATATATGCATCGGATGTAACCAAAGTTTTATGACGTTTTCCCTTTTAGAAATATTCAAATCGAGAAATAATAGAGAATCCTACGTTTCCTGTCTGAAGATATAGAATTTCATTCTTTAGAAAATTCTATTCATCTTATTTTTTAAAAAATACAGAAAAACAACTTTTTATAGATAATTACTACTGTGACTCTGCAAATGAAAGTTACTTCCCACGCATTTTTTTTTATTTCGATGAAAACCAATATTTAATTTAAAAAATAATAATTGTGTGATAAATAGTGCTTGAAAAGTTCTATCAATTGTGAATATTTTATGAAGCATGTTACATTTTGAAATTAGTAGTGAAATAATTTCCTTCATTGATTATTCATTGTCAAAAGAACATCCTGTTAAAAAGAACATTTACTGGTAATTCTAATTATAAACATCAAGTTTCTTGTGTATGTGTCCTTTGAGAAATTGTGAAAAGTACATTTCATTTAGTAAATCACAGAATGTAACCTATGAAAAGTTTCTTTTGTGTTGTTTTAAACAATGATCAAAAAAGAATCTTTCTATAGAATCAAAATTTTGTATCTTCTGATAGAAGCTTAGAATAATCTATTATTTATCAAGAAGAAAATGTCATAAAATTTTTCTTCATATCTCCGATATAATCAAAATTCTACTTGAATAGTCAGATATTAAACGTCAATCATTAGTTAATTATCAAATAAATTTTGATTCAAAAATATCAATACTAAACATTTTTTTAGTAGAAGAAATTCTTTACAAATATTTGCTTATATAACATAAATAAAGAATAACTACGAAATTTTTTTTTCAACATGATTATATTTATTGGCATATTATAACTAATTCACGTGTAGCAAATGTAGAAAAGTAGAAAGAAAAAAAAAAATGTTTGGACCCTGGATGAATTCACACGATCTTCTTTTGTGTTTTTATGTTGTTGTTTCTCTCTATTTGTTTTCCAGAAAAAAAAAAAATATATATATATATATAAATGGCTTCGATGTTCTATGTCATGTTGTCAACTAATTATAATCATGATATAAAGAAATGAATGCAAGAGCATTTCTCTTTTCTAACTACACATGAGAATATAAAAAAAAAAAAGAAAGAAAAAACAAAACAAGAACAACCACCCACCTATCTATCTACATTCTGTCAAAATGTGATTATACTCTGACACTAGGCAGAGTTTCTCACACGCTTTTAGTAATTTCTCTGACCTATAATAGAAAACGATAAAATATTCAAGAAAAAAAATTTTCTCGCTTACTGCATACATTGATAAAAACGACAATGTTGAACACAACATAGAGAAAAAAAAAAGTATTCCTACATCTTACTATGCTTGACTTTGATGATGACAAAAGAACTGATGAAAAGCTTTTTTTTCTTACGCTCTTCCTATATATATATATATATATATATATATATTCTATTCATGGTTTCTTTTCTCTTACAGTTTAGATATAAAGAATTTTTATAAATGACTTCTAAAATATCTTTAGTCGTATTTGGTTTATTATTAGTAACCATAGCCATTGTTGTTCAATCTACACCTGTTGAACCCATTAAAAAACGTAAGATCTTTTAATTTTGATCATTCAAACATTTTTTTTTACTTATTTAGTTCTTCAATTGTCCAAGAGGGCTGTACAAGAATCTATTGATGAAACGGAACCATCAATAGCTTCGACTAGTTCTACAACAACCGTTTCTTCTCAATCATCGAACATACCTATAATACAACATAAAATCAATGATATTAAGAAAAAACGTAATATTTATAATTATGATCAATTCGATGATAATCTTGTAGATGATGACAATGATTTTGAAAATATATTATATCCAAAAATTAAAGAAAATCCAATCGAAATTTATGATAAAACAGATAGTAAGGTTTTTTTTTTCTGTTAAGAATTTTATATGTAATTACTAAATCTTAATAATCTTATTATGACTTCAAAAATTTTTATGTTTCTTAGAATCAGTTAATACAGATAATACAAATGTATTTACTGATACTATAATGGATCCAACTGAATTTACAAATCTTGCACGAAAACGTCGTAGTATTAAATTAAATCCAGGATCTAAACAAAGACAAAAACGAGCTTTATCATTATACAATTTTTATAATAATGATCCGGTAATAAATGACAAAAGTATTTTGTTTTAATCAATTGATTTTTAACTACTTCCTAAATATCAAACATTAGCTTATTTTTTTCATTTTGCTATTATTAATAACAAAGTTGTGCATAGATTACTGTTAACTTTTTGTTTGACATTTATTTGAGAATAATATTTATTTTAAGGGTATATCGGACAATATATTGAATGTAAAGTAAATTGTAGGTAACAATTGACATTAAGTTTTAAAGAAAAAACAAAAAAAAAACGAATAATAAATCATAGAATTTCATTTACATGATTATTATCATTTTAGTTATATGAACCATTAATTGAACGTCAACAATTTATCCGTCCAAGCCGAGCTTTTATGTAAGAATTTATTTATTTATTTATGTATCTTTAATCAGTAATTTATATTTTTTAGTTCACCCTTTTGGTACCCATCTACATATGAACGAAATATTCGTTCACTTCGTGAACCAGTTGTTTATGAATTACCTGAATGGAATAAAATCTATGCGGATACTATTGAAAACGATGATGATCAAAGTAAAAACAAAAAACAAACATAATTTTTTTTTCTTAAATTATATTATTTATTTAGTTCCATTTCCTACGAATGATGATGATGATGATGATGATGATGATATTGGATATGGATATGAATATGAATATAATCGTTATCCATTTTTCTCAGAATCATCTAATATTCCATACGATAATTTACAATTACAACAAGAATATAATGATGACAATTTACCAATATATGAAGATGATGATGATCAAGCTGATGAAGATTTTCTAGTAAGATTCGTTTATTTTAATTATATGTCAATTTGTTTGTTTTTGTTTTTTGTTCTAGACGCCTTATGGACCAATGGAAAGTTATTTTAAATAACGAATAGCTATGCATATAATTGTTGTTTTCAAAAAAAACACGAGAAACAGAAATAAAGAAAATAAAAATATTTAATTTGTTTGATCTAGATGCACATATGTATTATGATCATAGGATAGTAAAAAAAACATGTTTTTTTTTCGTGGTCTATCTCTTCCTTTCCTTTTTTTTCAATTTCTTTCATCATACATATATATATATATATAACATTGATATTAATCATTATTCATACACATGTATATTTAGGAGAAGGGTTAAAAACCTTCCGCTTTTTTTTCTACGTATGATAAATATTGCTCACCCTTTTTTTTCTGTTCTAAAATGAAAAGTCAGTTATTTGAAGTACAATGAATGTGACGGGTAATATTCAATGTGATATTTGCAAGACAAGTCATGGTTTTAGCTCAGCTGATCAACGTGCAATTATTGTTATGACTGTTTTAGTGGCTATTGCTCTTGTATTTTGTTATGTAGGTGTATTATGGTTTGCTATTCGTACACGTTTTAAATTGCCTAAAAATTCAAATGTTATCGATCATACGATGCATAAAAATGAGACATTTAATAATGATGATGAAGAAAATTTTGATGAATATGTACAGCCAATAGAAAATATAAGAAGTCCATTACCACCAACTACATCAACACAACATGTTTATTTTAAAACAGAAAAAGAATAATATTGAAAATTTTATATGTTAAAATAAAAACTATTTTCAGGTTTTTATTTATTTCTTGTTATTAAATATGAATCATTTTTATTGTATTTAATAGGATTCGAATTAAAGACATTTTCCTTCGTAATATATATATATAATTTTCAGATAACATCCTTGGATAACAGGTACACTCACTCCATGAAGATGTAAGGTATATATGTCATCTATTTTCGAATCAATTCGTCATAGTTGACTTACCAATACTTCTTATGATGCTATTATGACTTTTATAAATACACAGATCATAGATGGAATTTTTTTTTAATGTATCGGACCAAGTTCAGTTTCTAACGGATGGGGCAAAAGTTTTGCATTAATTTTGTTTTTGATATAACTCTGCAATGTAATGTCGTGGAGACTTGATTTTTTTTTTGTTAGAAAGAGCAAAGTGTTTAGTGCAAGAATTTATAAAAGAGTTTGATTGGAAATGTTTTTCGAAAACTACAATAATCTTAGAACAGAAGGCGTTGGAAAACTCTTCCGCAACTTTTTTGAACTTAGAAAAAAATTCCTACAATTAGACAGGTTATCTTTTTATTCGTCTAATCCGGATTTTATAATATAAGGATAGAGCACTATTGCGTTATAAAAAAAGAAATTTTCTACATGTTTTATAACGGTCGAAATGAACGCTTTTATGATATCGTCTGTTTCATCAATTCTTTATCATTGTTGGTAGCAATCGAAAAAATAAACTCTATTTTGCAGGAGAGATTGCTAGAAGCTATATATTTTATATAAAAAAGAAAGTTTATTGAGTCCTCTACCAAACGATATTATTTGGAATAGGACACAACTTCTCTATGACATATTCAGAAAAAAACTTATTTTCACGCTACAAAACCAAATTCGAACAATTAATTTGTTTTTATCAACGTGTCTTTTGTTCATTCTCTTGTATGTTATACCAATTATTTTAATACCAAATGAAAAGCTCCGTTGTAATGAGCAACTGTATATATATGGCGCTCGAAAGTGTCGAAAGTGGCTAATGAAAAAGGCTCAAACAAATATTTTTGGATTAAAAAAATGTGACCGAAGTTGCGGAAGAGTTTTTTGGAGCCTTGTGTTCTAAAACTATTATAGCCTTCGAAAAACATTACAAATCAAATTCTTTTATATATTTTTGCACTAGACACTTTGCTCTTTCTAACAAAAAAAAATCAAGTTTGTACGATATTGCGTTGCAGAGTTATATCAAAAACAAAATTAATGCACAACTTTTGCCCCACCCGTTATAATATAAATATTCGACTACTGACACGAAAATGACACTATCAGCTAATTAGTAGGGTGTAATGAGGATGTAGGTATGAGTGTATTCTCGTCATTCTCATCTAGACATACAATTGAAGAAAAAAAAAAAGATATGAAATATATATATGATTCAAAGTAATTTACTCATTAATATTCTTCCTATTTTTTACCTTTCTTCTTCCCAGGTCAATCAATCCTAACTAACGGATTCCGGTGCGGATATCGCCGGAATCTGGCAAAACCCGGCAAGAATAGACAGGATTCGGTCGGATTTTGCCGGATTCCGACGATATCCGACGTCGGAATCCGTTAGTTAGGATTCCGGCAAAATTTGTACAGGTTCCAGCCGGAATTATTTGGAACCTACAGGATCCGATGTCCCCTCTTGGACCTGGGTTCGTAAAAAAATTTGTTTTCGTAGAAATAGTAATTGGTATGTTTTTGATGTTTGATTAAATCGGCATTTTTTCATTTCGACCAATAGTATGATTTACTATTTTAATTTAGAAACTCAAATTGTTGAATCTTTTTTTTTGCGAACATATCAATTTAACGAACATGTAAGAAAAATTACCGTTGTATTCAATTAAAATCTAATTTTTCGTCAAGACTTTTTACATGCATTATGCATTCCGGAATTGATAACAATCAAGAAGCTTTTACTAATGATGGTATCTTGTCAGCTGTTCCTATTGAGATTTGACTAAACTACCTGTCTATTTTCTAGAGATCTCAGCTTTTCGAATTTTGATCTGTCACTTTATGCATATAAAGAACTCAACTAGACTTGCTTTATGAAACTTAGTTCACATATATGTAGTGATTAGACTAGCTCATAGAAAAAGTCTCAAACTTTTTTCTCTACAGGCTATTCTAATCGGTGCTTTTAAGTGAGCAAAGTTTCAAGTAAAATTTCAAAAGTATGATTTCGCTTGAAAACTGAAGCTCTACAGAAGAAATCTAGTAAACATTCGAAATCTGAGCAGCTCGAAATACTCTAGGATTTTTACCTACTCACTAGATCCTATCGATTGAATAGAGACCCAACTCGAAAACGCCCTATCACTTAGGAACCTTTTCTCATTTGTCAAATATCAATAGAAACTCAAATGTGTTTAGAGTTTTAATTAGAACACTATGCAATATTTATAGACAAAAAGAAATCATTGAAATCAGAAGAAGACAGTAGAAGATGTTTTCTCGTTAGCGAACGTTTTAGAAAGTTCATTTTAATGATAAATAAAAACAGAATATTTATTTGATTCGATAACATTTCTCATCGTCGCAGAAGATCGATTGAATTATTAGCTACATTGGAACAGTGTAAGATGTAACACAGTGATATCGATTAGTAGGTTAAAAGTTCTTATTATTTTGTAAGCATAAAAATTATTTGATCCTATTCAACTTGTAATTGTCGACTATAACGATCATTTTTTGATGCTTGAGAAATATTTATTTAAAATTTTAATATTAAATTCGAAAATTTTCAAAACAAATAAACAATAAAATTAAAATCAATATTTTACTATAAGAATAAGAATTTGTTCTACTTATTACTGTATAAAATGATGATAATTCTATACGTGCAGTTGATGTTGTTGCTGTATTTGTACATAAAATAAGTGTAGTTGGTGTATCAAATGTTGCATTTATTTGATAACCACAATTTTTATAAAATCCATAAATAATTTGTGTACGATTTAATAAACGTGTTTCAGCTGTTTCAGTACGACGTGTTGAATTTATTGATGGTTGTAAACTAAATAATGTAAGAAATGTTATAAGTAAAGTAAGAAAAAATAATCCACATAAAATTAATCCCCATAAAGGACATCCATAAAACCATTCACAACAACTATATGAACGATTATGTAAATCACAACGACCTTTACATAAATTACAACAATAAAAATGACGATATTTATAATCTGTTTTGTAAATTTTTCGTTTTCCATAATCAAGATCAGATGAATAATAACCACTAGGTGTATGTGGTCGATGATCATGTGGACGATGTATGACACGATGTACAGGTGGGACTATAGTTGCTGTTTGAATAGGTATTTGTGGTGGTATAGTTGCTGTTGTTGTTGTTGTTTGAATAGGTATTTGTGGTGGAAGAATAACAACCGGTTGTTTGATAATTTCAGGTTGTGGAGTAATAGTAGAATGAGTAGAAATTGTTGAACTACTTGAATATGTCGATGTTGAAAGACTTTTTAGACGACGAGATTGATTTTGTGATCTTTCTGGAATTGTAGTTGTTTCAACGGTTGTTACTTGAGGAACATTTGTAGCTGTTGAAGTAGTGATTGTTTGTATTGCTGGTGTTTCTGGTTTTGTAGCAGTTATTGTAGTTTTTATTTCTTCAGTAACAGAATTTTTGTCTATTGTTGGTAAAGTTGTTGAATTGAGTATTCGAGTTGTTGTTGTTTTTGTTGTTGTTGTCGAAGTACTGTGCGGTTGTTGTTGAATATTCGTTTGAGAAGTTGTTGTAGTCGGAATAGGAGGAACAGTAACCGAAGGTGTTTGATAATATACAGTAGGTACTGGTTGTTGTGAAACAGTGACTTCAGGTGCTGTTGTACTGGATAGAGGAGGAACAGCAATTGAAGGTGTTTGATAATATATAGTAGGTACTTGTTGTTGTGAAAAAATGGCTTCAGATGCTATTATACTGGGTAGAGAAGGAACAGCAACTGAAGGTGTTTGATAATATACAGTAGGTACTTGTTGTTGTGAAACAAAGACTTCAGGTGCTGTTGTAGTAGGTAGAGAGGGAACAGTAGCTGTAGGTACTTGATAATATACAGTAGGTATAGCTTGTTGTTGCTGTTGAGGATTGATTTGATATGTATTTGGCCATGTTCCGGCAGGTGTTGATTGCACAAAAGTTGGATAATACATATTTGATTTTATTCATTCAGAAGAGAAATATAACTTAAATATTGTTGTTGTTTCGAGTTTTGAAATATATGTGATATTAGCTGTGATGGAGTTAAGTTTTTTGCTTAAGAATGGTAATAGAGATTTATTGTAACTATAAATACGATTTTGACATTGACATATTTAATAATATTGTATGTTCTTTATTTTCATATGTTAAACGAATAAAATAAGACAAAAGAAAAAAAAGAAGTTCGTTGCTCAGCACTTCTCACTCAGTAGGCGGTCTTATGATTACATTGACAACCGGAAAAGAAAAGAACTATATCGTCTTTCTACCATTAACAAAATCATTCTTCGATTAACAATATATTCAATGAGATATTAATTATATAGACAACAATATGTCAAATAGTTAAAGATATTTTATTATTATTTATAGATATAGATAATTTATATAGCAATAGGAGAATATATATTCAAGTTAATTTTCAATACAAGTATAACTCCTATCAAAGTTTCGATGATTAAAAAATCAATATTTCCTTCTATCTCGATCTTCATAATAGAAAATATTTCTAAATTCTATTCCCTGAATATTCTTTTTGTAAATGTTTCATTTATTTAAACAAAAAAAAATTATCTGTCCGTTACATTATACAAAATTTATGTTAAAATAAAACTTTAACAAAAAAAACTACATTATTTATTTGTTCCTGTATCAATATAATCAATAACAGCAGAACGTAGAAAGTTTAATCTTTGTTCTTCATCAAGTTTTAAACGATTAATTTCTTGATCACGATGTTTTATTA